TTTTAATAAAAAGAAAGAAAAATAAGGATTGCTTTTACAAGATACAGTTAACTAATTGTTATGGTCCGGTTCCTTGTACCACGGTGATAGTCCAAGGTAGAACCAATAAAGAAGAACTCGAACACAGGTATGGAATAACACAGATATATTACAAACAGGAATATATACAGAGAAGTAGAAGTGTTAGTATGAACAATCAGGTTTAGTAGAGAGAACAATGTAGTCTCGACCAGTATCACTATTCCAATGTCTTGCAGTAATTGTCTGAACGCGACTCTGTTTCGGACTGCCTCTGACTCGACTAACTGACTCGCTCGTTCTGACTGACTGACAGACTCCTGACGGACTTCACTCCAGACAGACTTCACTCCAGACTTCAGACTGAATAGTATTTAGTCATCCCCCCAACGAGGGCATCATGTGGCACAAGGCCGGTTTAACGTGGGATCTCCAAGCCCGTGGGCTCGGCCAAAAATATGCCCATTGAACCCGTATAAACGGGTTCAGGGTATGTTTACCTCCCCGAAAGAGATTCCGCATTTCGGCGTAGCCTCGTTCGGGTTCCTCCCCGCCCGAAGGCACAGAGTTCAACCTATCAGCCGATCAGCCGGTCGCCCGACTTTAGACTGAACCCACTGCTTCCTCTTGAGGCGCAGTATTTATTACGTATGGAATAGTCCATTATGTTATTATGTCCCATAACACTAATCCTTAAATTTACTAATTTGCTTTGAAATACATCTTTAAGATTTTTTTTGTCTATAATTGTGGTTAGATGTGTGACAAGTGAATGTGCCAATGTTTTAAAAATGCCTAAAAACTTTATTTGTTACTTGTGATTATCTTTTATTTTTTTACAGTAAAGTTCACCCTGTACAAGGCCAGGGAGCCACTCGCGTTAGACAGTTACGCTAAGGAGTAGTTTAGGGGAAGGTAACGGTTAACTCTAGACTTGAACAGGTTAAGATCGTATCGATCGGGAAAGCATCATCTTGGGAGTCTGGGAAGGGGTTCGTGGGAAGAAGCTGTTATAGTGTGTAACAGATAAAGGTATGCAATTACACACCCACATGAACGCACACACGCAAATATAACTTTTATTAACTGGAAATAGAAACGGTGTTTATATATCAAAGTACAATTTGGGTTAAGATGTGTGTTTACCGATGAGAAATCCGATCTCAGGGCAGGAGGCGATGTTTTAAATCTGCGTCACTAGTAAACAATGGGGATGGGTGAGATACTTGGTTTTGTTTAACAGTATTTGTTTTGATTAAAAGGTTGAATCAGTGTTTAGATATCCCAAAGTATAATTTTGGTGAAGCGAGAAGAACTCGTGATTGAGATAAGGTAAATAATTGGAGAATCGGTTTACATGTCAAGGGATAGTTTTTGGCACTCGTGGTAGCTGCGTGCCGGGCCGAGGGTCAATTGTGATCAGCTGATCCTTTTTTTCTATATTAACTCTAGATTTTGCTGATAAAGCGGAGTCGGGGAGAGAGTCACGAGATTATCGTCGTAATGAGTCGAGAGATTTGCAGGAGAATTTTGGAGGAAAGAGAGAAGACTAACCCCTGTTCTGAGAAGTCTGTATGAAACTGGATTATTAGTCATAAACCTACCCCAGGCGATTCAATACGTGTTTATCACACAAACCCTCTCTCTGTTGGGAATTCGCTGGATGCATTTTGTCTTTTTCTTTTCTCATTTATGTTAAATGTCTTTATTCTCCCTGTAACCTCTATTCTGATGTTATCTTCTTATATAAAAGACGTCAATATTTCCCCCATTGTTGTCTGGCTTCTGCAGATATTATTTCTTGTTTAATTTTGCCACATTTTAAACGTCCTAGCGCCAACTCTCACAGCCGTGTCCACACCCCCAGTCGACCGTAAACGTATGGACAACACCCCGCTTACTGGATCTAAAAACTAACACAGCTTGGGCAGCGAGCAGGACTTGACCAGTTGACCGGTCGAAATAATCTACGGGTACTCAGGGAGCGTACGGCCAGTTACCCCTAAGTTCGGTTCGGACCGAGTGGACACCTCAACCCAAAGAGGAAGACACCGGAGGTTGAGGGGCTGGGGACGAAGTGTTATAGTGGAACTTCTCGCCGATGGAATACGGGGGGAATGTGAGTGTTTTGATACTATGTAAGTGGCATGACTGGTCTTAGCAGCGAAGGTTAGACCTGGCGGAACCGAAGAATGTAGTTCACCCGAGCACTTTCCATTGAAGTAGCGGTAGAGCTGTGAGAGACTCGCTACATACCGCCTGTGAGAGAGTGTAAAATGATTCTTCTCTAACATAGACTCGGAGATGCTTTTAAATTCTATCAAAACTGAAAAGTCAGAACTGGGCAGTTCCCGCCCAAATATGTCAACAGTACTCCATTTTAGTTCTGATTTAGCTCTTATAAGGGTAGAGGACAGCATGAGGAGTCAGGTACTTATTCGAGCGGTACAGGGTACTGATTATTTTACCTTCATCTTTAGCG